TGCCCACGCATGTACAGCAATCTTCTGCATACCTTCAACTCGAATAGTCATTATTTTTTATACAACCCTGTCAATCACAATGTGAATCAGGTGGTAGGCCAAAGCTTAGAAAATGTCTTCGCGTTGTAACGAGAACTTCAAAGAAAGTATTTAGTACGACATTTTCTGCCATAGTAGTCATGATAAATTCCAGAATGAGGCCATAGACTTGATGCATTCTCACCATTTTCTCCGATACCATAGTCGGCATTCCCAGTGATTGGGTGAATCTCATGGCCACTAAAGCAGAAGGCGCCGGACAAGGTACATTTTTCGAGGTCCCCTGATAACCCGACTAGGCTGAGGAATCGAGGTCAGACCATTTCTATAGAGCAAAGCAGGACTGCGACCAAAATAGAGGACGCACCTTATTCGCCCGCAGGTCTACAACTGTGCTACAACTTTCACAAACTCAATCCCCAGCTCACCAGATTAGTGAGCTTATGCACAAGTCTGGATACCGTTCACACAATACATTCACTTCTTTCTTGCACACTCAGATTATCTGCGGCATTCTCTCGGCATGCTGCTCTGTGCTTTGCATGCTGGCCGCCGTTTTTGCCGGTCACCATGGCAGCTGGCTTTCCGGACACGCCAGCATTTGTCTATCGAGTGAGCCATCCCATCCGGCAGCAGCAGCAGCAGCCGCGGCGAGGATTAATCTGCCGTCGACGGGCAACCCGAATCCTGCATCCTCCACAGCTGCTGGAACTGGCGAGACCGCCAATAGTGCCAACGGCAAAACAGCCATAGTGTCGTTGGCAAGATCAGCCAGCGTCCCCATCTCTAGCGTCACTGGGTCTGTTGGTCCAATAAATCCCTTTTACTTTCACAACTTCAACTCCTTGACTACCACTAGAGTCGAGCCTCTCTCAAAAGTTCAACCCAAAGCCGATCCGATTCGTTTTCCTGCCACCCCTACCATCGACAATGCTGTTCCCATCCTTTCTACGCCCGCCTTCCCACAACTGGAAAGCCGATCAGAAAGTGAAGCCGTCCTGAGCAAGATAGTGGATTATGGCAAACACTTTGAAGAGATGGATGGTATCAAGCGGGTGCCGAGCTCCGTGGTTCGTGCTGACGAGGCGCAGAATGGCAAGGGGAGACCAGGAGATGGCGAAATGACAATTCGGGAAGACGAGTTTTTAATGGTTATGCGACCGATTCAGGTGCCTTGCTGCGCAGATATTAAAGCCGGCAGGCTTCAAGGATGTAGATGCTAGTAAGAAAGGAGGAATAATTTGAGTTGAATAAAGAAAATTTTTGCAATTGTTTAACATGGTAAACGTAAACTATTTTGTTGTGAATTTGTATAGTGGAATTCAGAACGTCATTTCGAATGCAAGCAAGAAAGCTTGACAGAATTCAGACTAGGAAATTCGCTCCTTGAGGAATATAATCTGGTATTTCTCCTTAGCCTATTATTTCAGAATGGAGAATTAACAGATTTAGTGTCAGGATAACATATTGAGTGGCAAATTGTATATTAGGGTGCTTGCATTTACTATTTTCGTGAGTTAGTAGGCTTTCGAGATGACCAACTTATTTGTTCACTGGAGGCAAACTTAACAATCTACTATAAGCCATGAGAAAGGTCAAATAAGAGTAAATGTTGATTAGGCCAATGGTTTGCGTTATAGAAGTAATACGCTTCATTGCTTCTGAGGTTAAAAATTTCAGTAAGCTTTGACTACTAGTCGTGGTTGCGTATAGCTGGCCTGCCTGTAATTAAAGATACGCCATCCAAATTGATATAAATCTATTACCAAAACAGAAAAGTCTTATATTTTCC